TGTTATGGCCTGGATATTTGTCCCCTTCAAACTTCATGTTGAAATTTTATCCCCCATCTTGGAGGTGAAGCTTAATGGGGGGTAGGGTCTGGGTCACAGAGATGACTACCTCAGAAACAGGTTATGTCCTCCCTCGTGGGCAGGTGAGTTCTCTCATGTAGTTCTGCCACAGGTGGAAGCAGCCTGCGGCCTGCACCAGGCACTGAGCGGGAGCTTTATCCACAGCCTGCAGCACTGGCAGCCAAATAAACCTCTTTTCTTTATAAATTACCCAGCCTCAGTTGTCTTTTTATAGCAACACTAATTGGATGAAAGCAACATTGTATATAAAAATGTATAATAAAATAGGCAGAGTTATTCCCCAGGTAATCCTGTCTAAGAGGTAATTACTTTTATTTATTTATTTATTTATTTGAGACAGAGTGTCACTTTGTCATCCTCAGTAGAGTGCTGTGGCACCATAGCTCACAGCAACCTCTAACTCTTAGGCTTAGGTGATTCTCTTGCCTCAGCCTCCTGAGTAGCTGAGACTACAGGCACCTGCCACAACACCTGGCTATTCTTTTGCAGTTGTCACTGCTGTTTTAGCTGGCTCAGGCTGGGTTCGAACCCACCACCCTCGGTATAGGGGGCCAGCGCCCTACCCACTGAGCCACAGGCGCCACCCCAGGTAATTATTTTTATATAAATCTTATATGAATATAAAAAATTTGGAGGGTTCACTCTTCATCCGCAAGTTCAAATATCTTTCTGGATAAGGAAGAAGAGAATAAAAAGGTCTGAGAACCAGCAGATGTAGGCAAGTTGAGGAAGGGGCATCAGGAAAACGATCCTGAAATCCAAAACTGAGATAATAAATCTGGTGCATTCCCATTCCAGTGTCAGGGAGCAAGTGTTTACATTAGGAAGAAAAGGTAAGAATAATGGGATCCTGAGGCTGATTTTCCAGATTCTGGAGGGATGCCTTTCCCAGCCCCAAATCCTGACATCACTGCATACACAGTGCAAAGGAGCCATCTTTGGGACGTGCCAGAAATCTGGGCCACATGCAAATGGGGATGATCTAGAGAGAAACCTCAGGGCCTGGGCCTTTCCTTCCCTTAAAAATTTTATGAAGGCTGGAAGTGGTGGCTCACACCTATAATCCTACCACTCTGGGAGGCCAAGGCAGGTAGAATTCAGAACAACCTGAGCGAGATTGAGACCCCATCTCCACTAAAAATAGAGACTAGCCAGGTATGGTGGTGGGTGCCTGTAGTCCCAGCTACTTGGGAGGCTGAGGTAGCAGGATTGCTTGAGACCAGGAGTTTGAGGCTGCTGTGAGCCATGGCACTCTAGCCTATGTGGCAACACAGTGAGACTGTCTCAAAACAAACAAACAAACAAACATACAAACAAACAAAACCCCAAAAATCTTATGGAAAAAACCTCTCTCCAGACTGTGGCAGCAATCGCCCAAGAGTGAGTGAAGTTTCCGCTTCTTTCTCATTACACCACCTGACCCAGCCATCAATCTAGAGAGAAAGGTATCTCTGGCTGCCAAGTCATACCTACTTTGGTGCCTATTAAACAGGTGGCCCAGGCTCAAACCCTCAGGAAGCCTGGCTGAGATCCTCAACCAACAGAGGAAAACCAGCCTGACCACTGCAGGTGGACTGACTTGAAGTTTCCTCCTCTGTCTCCTCTATTTCCCCAGCACAACCCAGGTTTTCATAGGATCAGAGAAATTCTGGAGATGACATAAGCACTGTGTGAGCACCCAAGAAGGACAGTAGCCTGCTCAGGGCTTCCTGGGTCACCACAGACAAGGCTTAACTTGATTCCCCATCTGAGAACTTCCAGCCTCATGTACGGCCTGAGTACATCCCTCTCCATCTGCAGGTGCTTTTAATTAGATTAATAATTCGGATAGTCAACACTGTACATGGGTTTAGTTCATTTGCCTCAATTTTTCCACTTCATTTTCACGGCAAGCACATATCCTTACGAGAATAATATTTATCTCCATTTGACAGAAGAGGAAAGAAAGCTGAGACCCTAAGTACCTTCTTTTGTGTATAACATATATCAGGGATCTAGGACAGATGGTGTGAAGTGAGGACAAATGGGCGATGTGGAGATGCAAGAGAACACACCTATATTTGTTAAATCTGAAGTCCTTATGGTGCAAATACAAATGTTATAAACTCTATTAGTTTATAAATGTTATCAACTCTATTAGTTTTCCGAATCTGAGGGAGGTGACTTAAAAGAGAATCACATCGCAGTAACGAACAATGTTGGTTTTCTTCCCCGAATTTCCCAATACACCAAAGAACAAAATGAGATTTAATTTCTATGACCTAAAAAATGCCAGTAAGATTTTTAATGCCAAAGAAATCTTATGCTAAAGATGATGTATGTCACTCCCTAACGCTTATAGCTAGAGCCAATACAGGATGAATCTAGAGTTATCTCAAAAGTGTTGTGAAGGATGTACTGTTGAGCTCAAGGGAGAAGTGACATTTTACTTCAGAAACCACTGCAAGTGTTAGCATTGGCTTCTGAATTTTGTTTTTTTCCTCCTTAGAGACAGGGTCTTGCTGTCCCCTAGGCTAGAGGGCAGCAGATGACATACCTCATTGTAACCTTGAACTCCTGGGCTCAAGTGATCCTCCTGCCTCAGCTTTCCGAGTAGCTGGGCTACAGGCACTTGGATTCTGATTTAAATGGAACTGTTTCTTCTCGTAACAGAAAACTGGTTTGTCATGATACTAGGTGGCTGTAACTCCACGAGTGGGAGATGAGTTGCTTAGACCTACTAGTTCCACATTATATCAGGACGTAGCAACACATAAAGTACAATCTTGATCACAGTGAGCCTCTCCTTGGTCTTGTGACTGTTGTCTGAAAATGTCCACACTCTAAGAGTCCCTTTGCTGGATGTTTTCCCCCAGGCCCAGAACCAATCAACTGTTTTAGAAATGAAGTCATTTTAGTCTCTCCAAGATGAAATTTGGAAAATGTTCTCTTGGAAGGCCTTTGGTTCAGCAAAACAGTTGATAGAATCTATTATTCATGAGCAGTTTCTAACTCATGTGTTACAGAACAATGCCATTATATTAATGGAATCTAACGGATTTTGCCAACTTCCACGTTAGAGCCTTGCGTTTGCATCACTGTCCACACCTCTAACACACAAAATCCTCTTGGGATGAAGCAGCACCTTTAGCTTCTGGTTTTGTAGGGAGGTGGTGGAGCAGGGTAGTTAAGAATCCAGCTGCCTGGGCACGAACCCTGTTGTACCATTTTATTAGCAATTAAGTTACGTGAGTCAACCTCTTTGAGCTTGAAGGTCTTTATCTAAAAAAATGGGACTGGATTTAAGAATTAAATGATATAGGTTTCTGACTAAAAGTGGCAGATTTCTCCTGATTTCCCTTTTGAAACCATAACAACAAGACAGGGAAGGGATTTTTAAAAAAGACAGACACAACCCACAAGTGCAGAGATAACAGACAAGACCAGAAACACAAG